AGGAGGAGTACAGGAGGCAGCCGATCAATGTTTCTAATCGATGTTTTTCTCTCTCCCTTCCTCTCTATCTCTCTCTAAAAAAGAGAAAAATCAATAAAAACATATATATTCTTTAAAAGATAAACATACACCTACTGTATGATCTCGCCATTCCACTCCTATGTATTTACCCGAGAAAAATGAAAACATGCACCCACACGAAGACTTGTACATAACTACTTCCAGCAGCTTCATTTATAATGACTTTATTTGAAAACAACACAAATATTCATGGACAGGTAAATAGATAAACTAACTGTGACATAATGGACTACTACTAAGTAATAAAAAGGAATGAATGTAATGATATGAGTGAATCTAAAAAATAATTATGCAGAACAAAAGAAACCAGATAGAAAGAGTACGTACTGTATGATTCCATTTATATAAAATTTTAGAAAATGCAAACTAATCAAATGTGACAGACAGCAGATCAGTGATCGCCTGGGGATGGAGATGGACAGGAAAGATTGTAAAATGGACAGGAGAAAACTTTTTGGGGTGATTGATATATTCATTATCTTGATTGCAGTGATGTAGAGCTATTTTAAACTTATCAAAATGCATACTTTAAGTTATTTTGTTTATATATATTAATTATGCCTCAATAAAATTATTAAAATTTATTACTGAATAACTAGATTATGTGTACACATACATTGTCAAATCAATTTTTTAAAGGGACAATCACAATTATTGCTTTAATCTTGCAAATACTCCAGCCATTCCACTGGTTACATGACAGACATCAGTCCTAAAGTCTAAGTTACCCAAACTCTTTAAGCTTTTTATTGATACCAACATCAGGCATCATGTGTTCCTTCATTTCTTCAGGGATTCAAGGAAAAGGCCAACAGTGTTCAGGGGGAAAAAAGGATCAAGTGATCTTAAACTTCATATGAAGAACATGTTCCCAAGAATATCAAAGGAAAAGAAAAAAAGGAAAGGGGGATTCAGCATAGCAGGTATCAGAACATTCTCTAAAGCTTCTGATTTTAAACACTATGGTATTAGGCCCTGGCCTAGTAGCTCAGTTGGTTAGAGTGTTGTCCCCATATGCCAAGGTGTGGGATTGATCCCTGGTCAGGGCACATACAAGAATCAACCAATTAATGCAAATGTAAGTAGAACAACAAATTGATCTCTCTCTCTCTCTCTCTCTCTCTCTCTCTCTCTCTCATATATATATATATATATGTCTCTATCAAAAATTAATCAATAAATTTTTAAAAAACACTATGGCATTGGGTTAAAAATAGATCGGTGGATATACTATAGAATCCTTTAGTAGATGTCACTATATGTGAGAATTATTTTTAGGTAAAGAATGTCTCCAAGTTTACAAAGCTTAAAATGCCCAAGCAGCCGAAACCGGTTTGGCTCAGTGGATAGAGCGTCGGCCTGCGGACTGAAGGGTCCCAGGTTCGATTCCGGTCAAGGGCATGTACCTGGGTTGCGGGCACATCCCCCGTAGGAGATATTCAGGAGGCAGCTGATCGATGGTTCTCTCTCATCGATATTTCTAACTCTCTATCTCTCTCCCTTCCTCTCTGTAAAAAATCAATAAAATATATATTTTTAAAAAAATGCCCAAGCAAGCAATGGACCCAGGTCTAGCTAACTTCTAAAATCCTTTTATTATTTTTTTATTTGAGTAGGTAATACTCAAACTACCATTTTGTATGTTACAAAATACAAAAGGGTGAAAACTTTTCCGGTCAGCATTTCCTGTTTCCCAGCAACCCTGTGTCTCTCTATGGAGACAAACAATGGAACAAGGCTCTTGTCTGTCCTTCCAAGAATATGCAAATAAGCATATAAATCAAAAGACGCCACTAAGAAAATAAACAACCAAGGAACAAGCTAGGAAAAATATTTATACTACATAGATCTGATAAAGGATTCATAACCTGAATATCTAAACATATAATTCCTACAAATCAACAACAGAAAGACAACTCAAATTTTTTAAATAGGCAAAAGGCTTACATAGATTCTTTATAAAAGATGATACACTAATGGTCAATAAGCACATGAAAAAGTGTTCAATGCCATTAATCATCAGGAAAAGGCAAATTAAAATCGCACTCCACTAAAATAAAAATGGACTAGCAAAAGCAAACGTTGGTGGAGTCCTGTGGATCCAACTAGTACTTTCATACATTGCTGGTGGGAGTGTAAATGATACAACCACATTGGAAAAAAGTTTTGAAACTTGTTATAAAGTGAAGCATACATCACCTCCATGACTGACTTCTTGGTATTTTCCCAAAAGAAATGGAAAAATTTGCACAAAAATGATTTGTGCATGAATCTTCACAACAGCCTTAGTAGTAATAACCCCAAACTGGAAGCAGTACAAACTTCCATCACCGGATAAATAAATAAATGACTTGTGGTATTTTAATAAGTAGAATACTACTGAGCAATAGAAGGTACAAACAATTGATAGTTGCAAAACATGTATTAATCTTAAAAACATACTCAGTGAAAGAAGCCATTCGTAAAGGAGCACATACTGTGGAGTTCTATATATATGAAGTTGTAAAACAAGCAAAACTAATATATGAGAGTAAAAAATCAGAAAGTGGTTGCCTCTTGTTGAGGGATTGACTAGACATGGATGTAAGGGAAACTTCTAGGGGCATGGGAAGTTTAAAAAATATTTTTTAACCCTCAGCCAAAGATATATGTATATATATTTATTTATTATTGATTTTTAGAGAGAGAGGGAGAAACATCAGTCAGTTCCCTCCACCCTGACCAGGGATGGAACCTGTAACCTTTTTTTTTTTTTAATATATTTTATTGATTTTTTACAGAGAGGAAGGGAGAAGGATAGAGAGCTAGAAACATCGATGAGAGAGAAACATTGATCAGCTGCCTCCTGCACACTCCCCACTGGGGATGTGCCCGCAACCAAGGTACATGCCCTTGACCGGAATCGAACCTTGGACCCTTCAGTCCGCAGGCCGACGCTCCATCCACCGAGCCAAACCGGTCAGGGCTTGATGAGAAGCATCTCTATTTTTGCTCAATTTTGCTGAGAACCTAAATCTGCTCTAAAAAATAGAGTATCTATATATATAAAAGGCTAAGGAACCAACCGTCCATCTGACCATCCGACCAACGGACCTGCCAGTACATATGATGCGCACTGGCAATTTAAAAATAAATGTTGACTTGTGCATGCGTGATACATATAAAGCTCTTGCTGGCACCAATCACACATGTATGTTTCGATCTGTCAATGTCGCTCGTGAATTTGGGTGTTTTTGTTGACATTCAATGTGAACCACATCGAGATTTATTCATCAACCGTCCGATCTACTGACCAGCTGATATATATGACAAGAACTGGCAATTTAAAAATGAACGTTGACTCGTGCTTGCACGATACATATAAAGTTCTCGCTGGTGCCAATTGCAGGTGTGTTTAAATTTTATAATACTATATTATATAAACTATTTTGACATGTAATTTTTTGCAATAATGTAATTACTGCACGAATCTTTCTTCTAATTAATTTCCTTCCAATGTGCATGAATCTGCACTGGGCCACTAGTATAAAAAATAAAATATAAAATAAAAATGGTTAGTACACATTGGAAAATATATTCAATTTTTAAAAGTAGTAAGCACAGTCCCAGCCAGTGTGGCTCAGTGATTAGAGCATTGATCTGTACACCGAAGGGTAGCGTGTTTGATTCCTGGCCAAGGACACATACCTGGATTGCAGGTTTGATCCCCGGCCCTGGTTGGGGCACGTGCAGGAGGCAACCAATCATTGTGTCTCTTTCACATCAATGTTTCTCTCTCTCTCTTTCTCTCCTCCTCCCTACCTCTCTCTTCCACTCTCTCTATTAAAAAAAAAAAATCAACAATGGAAAACATCCTTGAGTGAGGATTAACTAAAAAATAAAACTAAAACTAGTAAGGATAATGCAAAATAAAAATAGGAGACATAATTTTCTGTGTATTAGATTGGTAAAAATAAATGAATTGACAAAACCCCATATCGGGAAGGGGGTGGGAGATGGGAAGGCAATGTAAGCTTTCTAAAGGAAGTTGGGCAATGTGTATAAAATTTGAATAAGCCCATCCAGTGTTCCAGTAATTCTGCTTCTAGAACATTCTCCTAGGAAAATGCACAAAGATATATATATATATGAAAGTTCATCATAGAATTGTTTTGAAGAGCAAATATAAACAATTGAAATGTATGTAATTAGATCAATACACATGCAGTGCAATCATGCAGTAATTCAAAATGATAAAATAGATCTGTATTATTGACATAAAAATATATTCTCTAGTCTAGACACTGTTAAAATATTTTTTAAAGTGCCCCCCTCTCTTAGAGATCCTGGTTTATTTGGTTCTTAGTCCCCCTGGAGCTAACATTCCCCTTTTCTAGTCCAGCTATCTCCCACCACCAGGTTAGGCAAGGAGTCTGTGTAGGGTAGACACAAAGGACCTTCTTCTTAGGGTGACCACACAGTCTAGTTTCTGGAATGGTTTTGAATACAAATGTTTTGACCTACTGTCCCCATACAGTCAGGACACTCCTCATTTTAATGTCTGTTTTATAGCTGTGGAAACTGAGACTCATGATGTTGAACATTTTGCCTAAGGTCTGTCTAGGAGGTTCCTGCTGAATGAAAGCAGGCCTGCTATGTGCCCTCTCAAAATGTGATAGAGGTTGCCAAGAGCGGAAGGGTTAAAGGGGTGTGGAAACGAGAGCTGAAGAAGGAGTCAAGGTGGAAGAGGCCGTGCGGCCAGGTTTTGGGGAGAGGGGAGTGGCATAGAGAAGGTAAGGCAGGCTGTCACCCAAGACCTTCAGCCCCTCCTGCCACAAAGTCCTGTCTCTGCAGACACAGTTCTTCAATAATGCCTATCAGAAGCAGGCCTTCAGCAAATGATGAATGAATGAATGAATGAATGAATGAACGAATGAATAAAAGAAACGTAGAGTTTATTATTGTATTGGAAGTACAAAACCAGAATCAAACCCTTCTCAGACCTCGGTGGTCCAGGTCTTTGTAAGTCACCCCACATTCACCAAATATGTGAGTCTCCTCAAATCTGGACAGCCATGGGATGGGAGGGGGCCCTGTGCCCGGTCTATGGGGATGGGGCCTCAAGAGCCACCACCATCCTGGGTCTGTGTTCAGCTGTCTACAGGCCCACAGATCTGAGTCTCCAGAATTCCCTGGTGGGGTCATGCCTGCAAGGCCCCCTTGCCTCGGAGCTACGTCTTGGAGTGCAGAGAGATGAGCCCTGGTCCCAGGCTGTGCAGGCAGAGAAGAACTTGCTGGTGTCATCAGGACAGTGAGGGTGCCTCTAGGTATGGCAGGACCAGGATCGAGGTGTCACCAGCCCCCAGAAAGTTGTCTGTGCCAAAGAAAGGTGAGTTGTCAATGAGGTCCCTCCCAGTGCACCCAAGACATGGGAGCCCCAAATCAGGCCTTGGCCCCTGATCATAGCTGTTGAATTGGGCAAAAATAGGGGGTTAGCTATTGGGAAGGAGAGGCATGTACTCCTGAGTGGGGAGTTAGGTATCATGGTTCCTTACCTGGGCCAGGGGGCAGTGCCGCCGTGCATACCACTCCTGGCAGTACAGGCTGACCTGGATGCCCTGGCCCAGAAACAGCATGGTCCACATTAGCACGTTCCATGCTGGGCCCGTGTGCCGGTCATGCATCATGAAGTTCATCGGTGCTGAGGCAGGAGAAAAGATTGTCACGCCAGCTCCAGACACCTGTGCCTTGTGTCCCTGGCTGCTCTCCCATCCCAGGGCACTGGGGAGAGATGGAACGGGAAGATTCCATTGGGAAAGATCTTGCACCCAGCTCCAGAAACCCATGGAGGTCTCAAGTGGCTCATGTAAAACCAGGATTCCTCAGTTTACCCTTCAATATCTTGGCTCTCATGCCCTGACTGGTTTGGCTCAGTGGATAGAGCGTCAGCCTACGGACTGAAGGGTCCAGGGTTCGATTCCAGACAAGGGCATGTACCTTGGTTGCGGGCACATCCCTAGTAGGGGGTGTGCAGGAGGCAGCTGATCGATGTTTCTCTCTCATCGATGTTTCTAATTCTCTATCCCTCTCCTTTCCTCTCTGTAAAAAATCAATAAAATATATTAAAAAATATATATCCTGGCTCTCATACGGAACCTCCTAACCTCCACCAGTTTTTTCCCCTTTGTCTCCCTCTATGCGTGTCCTGCTCAGATGCTCCTCTCCAGTCAGAAATCTTCTTCCACATTCCCCAGGATACCCCCTTGCTGCCATCAGATGCTGCCTTCATCCCTGCTCCCAAGTCTCTCCTCACTCCAACTCTCACACACAACTCTCATGCCTTCTCCCATGAGGTATGCATATCCCCTTCTGTCCTGGGTGTGTGGCCTTCCCCATCAGTCTGGACTCTCCAGGGTCCGGAGCACAAGCCTCCTCCCTCTGGGTGAATTCCCCTCCAGTGGCACACAGAAGCAAGCTCACCTCCAATGACAAGGAAGAGTATCATCATGACAGGGTAGAAGAAGCCCAAGACAAAGCAGAAGATATATTCATGGACGACTGAAGAGACCAGGAACACGCCCAGCATGGCTGCCCGTCGGGCCTGGCCACCAAGGAGCTGGCAGGGATAGGGGGAGGAATGTGGAGTGATTCTCCTTAGGATCCCTCCACAAAAAGCACCCTCCCCACCCCCCCGTTTAAGAAAGCCAGGAGGGTATGTGGTGCAATGGAAAGAATATGGGATTTGGGGTCAGAAGGGCTGACATGTCTTATTTAAGGGTATTTTATTAACCCATTTGGGCCTTAGATGTGATTTTTAAAAGGGGATGATATAATAATACTTCTCAGGGTTGTTGTGCAGATTAAATGTATGTAACAACTCTTGGTAACTGAAAATTGATATATGCATGTTCCTTAGGAGGGCAGAAAGGCTCTGTGGAGGGGGTGGAATTAAGGAGAAGGAAGGAAGGAAGGAAGGAAGGAAGGAAGGAAGGAAGGAAGGAAGGAAGGAAGGAAGGAAGGAAGGAAGGAAGGAAGGAAGGAAGGAAGGAAGGAAGTTGGATCCCAATATGAAATTCTGTCCATTGGATTGGGTAGAATGGGGCAGGTGGAAGTCAAGGGACCCTTAGGTTGGATGGTGCAGCGGGAGGAAAAGAGGGGATGGTCCAGAGAGGCTCCATTAAGTGTGGGGGCTGAAGGGTTCTGCAGAGCCCATACCCACAGCCCATCTTGATACACATAGCTGTACAGCCAGTCGTGGACCACCACGTTCCAAGTGCGGTAGTAGTTGGAGAAGTTGGAGAAGGACGTGGAGTTCCACCAGTCCTGGGGAAGGGGAGGGGCCAGAGTGGGAGAAGGAGGTAAGCATCAGGGTCCTGTTTCTTCCCAGGCCCCAGCTTCTCAGCTTCTCACTCCTCCCCTGTCCCCTATCCCAATGTCCTTCCACAAGAGCTGACCCCAGGCAAAACAGAGACAGCAGCACTCTCCCTGCTGCCTCTTCAGGACCTGGGGCCCTGCCTTCCCTGGTACTCTCCCTGTTTCTGGAGCTCCCCTCCATCCACACAAAAGCAGTTAGCCCTGGCTGGTTGGGAGGTGGAAGGTTGGCATTTAACCACACCCAGAGGGCACATTTCTCATTGTGGGAGATTGCAGCCGAGGTGACACCCAACATTGCCACCATCCTCCCCAGATCTCTCCCTATCTCTCCCTGCCTCTAGCTCCCAAAAGGTCCAGGTCCAGGCCATACCCGGTAGAACATTCTGTCTCCAAATCGTAGCATCTCTGCGAAGGCGTTGAGCCAGCAGTGGAGGAAGGCAAAGAAGATGAGCAGCAGCATGAAGATGCCTGGTGAGTGGGGACAAGGGGCTGCAGGTTAGACTGGCCCACCTGAACCCCCAGGAAGCTCTGAGGAGCCCTTGCACAGTAACTAGGGCTTCAATCCTACCCATCATTTATTAGTCATTTACTAATTCATGCATTTATTAATTCATCCATTTGTTCATCCATATCAGAGATTGGGGATGTGAGATGATTCTTAAAACCCCTGGCCATTGAGAGTGATGGGGGGGGGGGGGGGAGACCAGAGAGAGAGAGAGAGAGAGAGAGAGAGAGAGAGAGAGAGAGAGAGAAAGAAAGAAATAGGAGGAGGAGGAGGAGGAGGAGGAGGAGGAGGAGGAGGAGGAGGAGAGACAGAGACAGAGAGACATGTTCAACCACACATCGAGGTCAAATGTATTGGGAGTTGAGCTTTTGAAGCAGGATCAGCAATGATTACTCTGTAGGACGGAAGTTCATCTGGGCAGCAGTGTCCTCAGGGGCAGATGGGAGAGGAAAGATTCAGGTGGGAGGGACACAGGTTGGGAGGCTGATGTGGAAAGGGGGAGTAGATGCTCATCTGAACTGAGACCCTGACAATGAAATAGTGATAGGAGGGGACAGAAAGTGAAGGGAGATTCAGGAGGTGTTGAAACTGGCAGAAGGTAAAGAGCAAGGGGAGTGAGGAATTCCCGGCTAAGCTTTCCCAGGACACAGCCTTCTGCAGGGCATACCTGGCAAGGTGGCGTGCATGACGGAGAGCACCAGGGTGCGGGTGCTGAAGGGCTCCCGGCTCATGTTGGCAAAGACAGGAACACAGAGGCGGCCCATGATGAAACAGGCATAGAGGAGGCAGCCCAGGGCCTGAAGAGGGAGAGGTAGGCACCTAAATTTGAGGGGCGGGCACTGGTAGCTGCCCCCTCACCCTGGAATTGGACTCTGGCCCAGCATCTTCCTTCTCTTCCCTCTGACCTCCTCCCCAGGCTTTCTCCACCCCACCCCCAGAAATATCCCCTCAGCTCCCATGAGTCACAGGTGGTCCACCCTTCTACCCCATCTTCTGACCTGGGCAAAGTTCTTGGCCACATAATTCCACCTGATGTTGGGTGTCCTGCAGCAGCAATGGGGATTATATGTTTCTTGTTCCCTGGTCAGACCGGGACCCAGGTTCTGGGGCCCTCTCTCCACAGCCCCTCAATTGCTCAGGGAGGTGGGGGACTAGAACAGCTTGCACCTTCCATAGCAGAGGTGGCAAATGGACTTTGAGCCTGCGTGTCAACCAAGGTGACCAACCATCTGGGGTTTGCTGTGGATTGAGGGACTTCCCAGGACGTAGGATTTTCAGTGCTAAAACAGGGACAATCCTGGGCAAACCAGGACAGTTGATCACCCTCGTGTCACCATGGGCTGGGCGAGGAGACGGGGTAGTCTACCTGCCGCTTCTTTCTCATCTCTGTGATGGGGCTGCTTCCTGAGGAAGTATCCAGGGGAGGCCAGGGACTTCAGGGAGAGGGGAGGAGGAGGGCAAGGTCCCTGATGGGCCTAGGCATTTGGGAAAGGGTGCAGGGTCTTACCTGGGGTAAGACTCCCTGTAGATAAGTGTGGGGCAGAAGAGGAAGTAGAGGTAGCTGGAGAAGCTGGGGGCCCGAACCCCCTCACCTGGGAGGAGTGAGAAG